TTAAGGCGCCTTCACAGCTCACCGTGAAACGTGAAACGTGATTTCTTGAAGAATATTCTAGAGCTGTGATTGGTTGAACCACGTGGTAATCTAGTGGTTAACGAGTGGTCAACCATTATTTTTGTTTTTGGTACCTTACCTATACCGTTTATACCGTATAGTTGAGTTCAATCCTACTCCAGCGTGTGTTCACCTCAATTTTATCTGTGGTTCACCAATACGTTTAATGATAGTGGTTCAAAATTCGTATTTGATGTTATCACAGAATAATTTTATTAATAATTATCAAAATAATAAAAATTTAAAATAATTTACTTTTTAATTTTTAATAAAATAGGTACACCTCAATATTTTAAAATATGCAAGACATCAATCCCTCTCTTGCCGTCGTAGTAAGTAGAAATCAATAATCATTAACATCATAAAGATTGTACAGTGTACACCTGTCTATGATACTTAATTGCTGTTAAATATAAGTTGATTTGCACGCTATTGCAACTATGCAAATTGATAAATTAAACACTTTGTTGCTTTGCTTTGCACGCCTATAGCAATTCGGTAGCTTGATTAAGATTATTATTGCATTTTATTCAGGGTCGCATGTGTAAAGACTGCAATGCATTTATTGTTGGACCAAAATTTATATCGCATAGCTGCTTGAACACCTCTACAAAAAGCATTAGCATTCGGCCTAAATCCCCTACATTTCCGCCGATTACTAAGTTGTCTAGTAATAGTAAGCATTTGTTGAACATTTTGATTTACCTACGTAATTCAAAATTCAAAAGTGTAGCTTTTTAGTTATTAAAATATTTTTACTCAGATGATGTTAACAAAATATAAAATTAATGTAATATTGTATATAGGTTTTAACTGGAAAGATATAGATCATATAACCGATGAAACTGCCGAATTTGATAAAGTCACTGATGATACAGCTTCAGATATAACATCACAACTAATTCTTGAAGTGGAGAAAAGAAGACCATTATGGGATCATCGACTTCCAAAAGAGAAAAGATATCCCAATGCTATTAATAAGCTATGGGAAGAAATCGTAAAGGAATTGAATTGTAAGTAGCTTTTGAATATTATATTACTTAAATACCTATGTAATAAAAATATCACTTTATAACATATAATTTTATAAAAGATTATCTTGTTTTTATAATTACCATGAGTACAAAATAATTTTTAATAATATCATGTTTCATAAATAAACTTTTATGGAAAAACCTTCGAGGGTTTTCAAGCTGGCGACAAAGCCCCAAACATTTGATAATTTATTTTGATTAAAGGTACATTCTCAGCTAAAGATTTGGAAAAAAAATTTGTATACTTAAAAGACCAATATAGAAGAATAAAATCAAAAGAAAATAACAAAGCAAGTGGTTCAAAAGGAGGAAAACCTCAAAAGCCGTGGAAACATTATAATAGTCTAATATTTTTGGATGATGTAATTTTGATGAAAAATAAGTAGGTGACTTTAAAATAATCTATTCAATTATTTTTTATTGATAAATTTGTATTTTATTTATTTTGCCTTAAATATATTTTTACTATAGGACTGTATCAAGTATTGGAGAAAGAGAAGACATCCTGCCTGTGGTGGATTTACAAACTAAAAATGTTGGAACTGAAAATATAAAATTAAGTATGAATGGAAAATTTTGTATTATTTAAAACATTGATAATAATATTTGTAACTCTAATCATTGGATATGATTTAAGATCAGTGGCGTATACAGGGGTGGGCCTAGTGGGCTGCAGCCCTCCCCAAAATGACAGTTTTTTTTAAATAGAACAACAATATATTTTATTAGGTACTATTATAATTTATAATATTTCATAGCCTGTTGAAAAATAACAAGTACAGTAGCTTCTAAGTAATTGATCACTTGCTAGTTTCTATCTACTATAGCCCACCCCAAAAATGATTTCTATATATTATGCCACTGTCCAAGATTAATACTCTTATATAATAGCTAATATAGTGGATAGTAGAGTATTCTGTGATAATAATAAATCATTTGGTCTATGATAATGATTAATTAATAACTTTTATTACATTTATTCACAGATATAATAATATATAGTATATACTATGAGATATTAAAACTGACTTCACTTTTTTCATGTAAAATGTAAAAATGTTCGCTATCTAGTATAGCATAGATATCTATGTATTTATTAAAGAAAAAGCCAAAGGGCTGCTGCCCACCCGGTCTCCCACGTGCGCACGCCTATGATTACAAGTATCTGCTACACTAATTGAAATTAAATGATTTTTTATTTAGAGACATCTGCAAATAACTACAAATTTGAAGAAGCTTTACTAGAGGAGCTTAAAGCTTCAAGACCGATATCTCCATTACCATTACAAAATATATCATCAGATACAATATTTTGTAACTACATAGTAGATTTAATGTCTGAACTACCACAAAACAAAAAAAGAAAATTACAAGGAGTACTAGTTGAATCTATTCTAAGGGAGATGGATAACTGATTTTTCAACATATTATTTTAATTGCATTTTATTTATTTTGTAAACTACAAAGGTTGTTTTTTTAATTTGTATATCACATACATTTGAAGCTGTTAATTTTTTAGTAGTAATTTTTTAGTAATAGTATATACATGTTTTTATTTTGTTTTTAATATATATTATGACATTTTTTAATGAATAAAACATTTTAAATCTTATCATATTGAAATGGTAATCCTCCTTCATTCATTAAATGGTTTTTAATTTTTTCTCTTATAACTTTAGCGGTTTGGCCGTAGAAATTTGATCCCATATCTCTAATAGGGGCCAATGCTCCAATTTCATCCATATTATGAGATTGATTTCTTGTAGGATCACAATACATTTGAACACCTAGAGTAAGTTTTAATATAACATGTTGTTATAAGTAATTTGATATTAAATGTAAAATATATAGTATAAACAAAATAGTAATAATCAAATTATACATTAACCTTCTCTACTTTCATATTTTTTTACGTAGTTGTGAAGCACGACGGAAGCTTGTACAATCGCATTAACCGTTTCTTCTGTAGCTATTATTGGTCGTCGAAATATACGCCATTTAGAGGCCATTATACCAAAAGTATTTTCTATACACCTACGAGCTCTGCTTAACCTTTAAAAATAAAATTACTAATAACTAATATTTACTGGTTTATATAAAACTGAATATTTTAAAATATTATCCGAAATATTTATTACAATGAAAGTTTAATATATAATATATGTTATTTTAACCTGTAGTTAAAAACTGCTTCATCAACAGGCAAATTTGCCTTTGATCGACCAGGATAGGGTCTCATAACATTAGGTAACAACATGAATGCTTCATCTGCTACAATATAGTATGGGATGAACCCATTATCACTATCAATCGGTGCATCATCCGGAAAATCGATTTCATTGCTTATAATTTGTTTGCCTAAATTACATTGTCTAAAGACTCCTCCATCACTGCATCGTCCTGGTGCTCCAATATCAACAGCTGTAAAATTGTACTTGGCATCACATATTGCTAATAGTACAATGCTGTGAGTTCCCTTGTAATTGTAGTACATTGAACCACTATTAGAAAATGCCTATACAATTGAAATAACTATTTAATATTCATAATTATATCAAATCTATAATTTAAATTCTAACCTGATGAACAATATGTTTTCCATCCATAGCTCCCACACAGTTCGGCATATTCCAATAATTATTGAATCCTTCAGACACTTCCAACCAAGCATGCTTATTTGGAGTAAAAAACACCTACAGAAAAAATTAATATGCCCTCAGAAAATTTGTCATTTTATTTTTGAAAAGATTTATCTCAACAATTCCATAGTGTATGCCAATTTTATTACTTTATCTTTGAGTACTTCCCATAGAGCCAAACAACATTCTTTAATAAGTCCTGATACAGTAGACTCTCCTATTCTAAAAGAATACATTATACTGGCCATACTATCACCAGTTGCTAAGTACCTACATACAGTGTCATATTTATTAATATATAAAATATATTGAGTGTCGGCCTGGCTATGGGGCTTCTCTATTTTTTTTTTTATAGGGTACATTCTTTAACTGGTTGGCTTATTCAATAATGGACTTTATATAATTTTAAGATGCAATTTTTCTTTTTCAATTTTTGGAGCTCAAGGCAAAGTATTATATTTTGATTGACTCAGATAAACTAGTTGATAAAATTGCAAAATCACCTTGTCAATTAAAAAAAATTACTGATATAAATTAAATAAATTGTACAATTTGTATTATACATGTAGTAGGTATCACATTAAAACATAGATATTAAGTTGTATATTATAAGGTATTATTTCTATAGTATTCTAGTATTAAGTACCTATAAAAAGTTACTCTAACTATATGTAGTTAATTTAATTGTTTGTGTATAAAATAAGTTAACTTTAAAAATGTATAATATTTTGTATTACATTTAACCACTTTTTATATCATTTTATGAGATGACATTCTTGAGGGCCCTTTATAAGAAATACATCTGGGCATTTTAGATACCAGGACGACACTGTATATTAATGTATTATTGTATTAGTATATTTAAGTATTAATTATTTTTATTTAATGTATTGTACTTCATGTCATAATTTAATTATTAATACTACCTCAATGTTGCAGATAATATTTCTCTGGGTGAAAGAATATCAGGCCTGTATGGATGTCTGTAAATTAAAGGACCAACTAAACTAACTAGATCTTCAAAATTTGATGAGCTCATGCGCATGAAATTGAAGAACATTGCTGAATTATTCAGTTGATACTCTTTTACAAGTGTAGTGTAGTGATCCAAACGTCTACGTTCTTTGAAAATAGGTCTTACATGCCACCTTTGGTCTTTTTTTCTGCTACTTTTATATATATATAATACCAATAATAATCAGTACTTATTACTTAAACACATTAGTGTTTACAACTTTTAATATTTACCTATTCTTTAAAATATGAACTGCACTTGCAATTAATAATTTTCGTCTGTAAACCTTTTTTTGGTATTCGTAGTATTCCAATGAAGACATATTTAACAAAATGTTTAACGATAAAATTGACTTAATAAATCTACTTAAAAGAAGCTAAAAAATTAATTATATATAGGTAGGAACGAAATTATAATAACAATATTCTATTTTTCCCGCTTTTATTTAAAACTTACATTTTAACCTACAAATATTAATGGTATCATTTTATTCTGTGGTATAATAAAATATACCAATTTTACGGAAAAATACGTGAACTACGAAACATCACGACGTGAACAAATTATAAATTATCACGTTTCACGTTTTACGGTGAGCTGTGAAGGCGCCTTTACTATCGGATGTCTTTGAGTTTTTTTCCATGCTGTAAATTCAAGCTGCGAACCTGGCGCTGGCATCTGAGGTAAAATAGGTTTGTGTGTTCCACATATTAATTTGTGTTGTTCAAGCCCCACCTGACCATTTAATTTAAATTTGTATTTTTGATCATCAAAACTGGTGAAACAACGTTTACAAAAAATAATTTGACCATTGTGGCGGGTTTTCTGCGAGTGAACGAGCCGAGACAAATTAGAGATGTTGAGTAAAGCATTAGTTAGTTAGCATTATCAGAATATAATATTATTTTATTTGGTTTTTGATTCAAACCTTCTTGTTCATGTTTAGCCAAGTATGAAGTTAAATAATCTGTAATAATTGAACAGAAAAATTGAGGCTTCAAGCTCGCCTTCAGTTTCATTCCACCAGTGGTTAATACTTTTATGATTTGCAAGATTATATAAGGTGAAATTGTGTACCTTTAATTTCATAGAATAGTTATGTGCACTTGTTTTAAGTATTGGGCATAGTTTAACCGATTGCAAATCCATTGTAAGTACAAGATATTGACTATCGTTTTCAGCAATCATTTTATCATTTTTTTTTTCATCTTGTGCGCGGTCTTTCATATTTTTATGATTTTCATACTCCTTTTCATTTATTTGTCTCATCTTAAATGATGTATAAGTGTCACACTGATCTTTTCTTGGATGAAAAATAGAAAAAATTTTTTCTTTAAGAAATCCAAATATATATGATTTACTTAGAGGCCTAACATTTTCCTCAGCACAATGCTTAACATACAAATCATACACTTCTTGTTTTGATTCAAAAGGTCCTTCTAAATATAATCTATTGGAACGTGCACGGCAATAATGCGATGGCATTTTAGGTAGACTTTCAACCCATGCATCAAGATGAAACTTCCTTTTATCCTTTGATGTACGAATATAACTTTCACTTTTTTGAATTGTTTCATTGTCACTTTTATCTTGCATTATTTTTGATTTTTGATTATGCATACCATGAATGGATTCTTTAATCCAATTATGAATCATCCACTTGTTAACTCCTAAAGTAGCTATGAACATTTTCTTGCATAAGTACTTGCAAACGATCACAGTTTTCATATTTAAGATAATAACAAAATGTATTGTTTCTCCTACTAGTTTCTTCCAATACTCGAGAACGATCAGATTTTTTTTTATGACTGCATTTGAGATATAAGTTCTCTTTTCATCCCAATTAATTTTCCAAAACTGCTGGAATATTTCTTTTCTTTGAGTCTCTGTAAAAAGTTGACAATGACGAAGTGCAGATTTTTTACATACTTTTGAGTTACATGTTTCTTTCATTTTTCTTTTATTCCTTAGTTGATCTTGGCTAACATTTTTTCCTTTTCTACTATAACCCATGTACTCTTGCCCAGCCATTCTTTTTAATTTTGATTCTTCACGGGATACTTTATTTTTTTTTTTAGTTTTAATTTTTCTTTTTTTACTAAGCACAATATCATCAATCACTATTTCATCAATGTCAACAGTATTTATTTCACTACTGTTAGGTATTGGATGATTGAGTTCAACAAGACTTGTATTTTCTTCATAATCTTCATATTGTATTGTATCAATATATTTTATAACATTATACATTTCTGATTCTTCATTTGATTTTGTTTCTTTTACTACATCAGCAATGTTTTCTTCTAAATTATTTGTTCTCATTGTATTATCATTATGAGCATCAAATGGTAATAGTTCTTTAATATTTAAAGATGATTCTAAATATACAACATCAGCGTCTAAAATATCCTGTCTTGTAAGTTCATTATAACAATATTCAACTACAGGATCTGTTTCAATACATTTTTTTTGCCATATCTAACATTGACTGCACACGGCGTTTAAACATTGTATGACGTAGTTATAAAGTACTATATTTTAGGTATTAATCCTTTTAATTGATTTATAATATTGTATTAAATAAAACTATAATATAATAAAATAAAACACTTGTCTAGAACTTACAAATTTGTAATATTACGTATCTCCATCAGAACAATTTACACAACAACACGTATCTACAAAAAAAAAAAAAATTGATATATTAAGATTGTGAAGCTTTCTGACGGTTGTAAAATGACTTATTTGAATACATTAAAATGTTATTCATTATATTAAAATAATATTGACGGTAATTACCTGAATTTTGAGTGACAGCTAAAAAAATACGCTGAGTACAAGACGTGTAAGTACGTCGTATGACGCAAACGTCGCTAACTACGGAATAAACTATGGAGATACTTGTTGTTGATGTTGAATATGTGATACGTGTTATCACATTTTAACGATTTTTGGAGGGAAAACATGATTTCATCAATTTTATAGCTATTACAAATTATAACCGCAAGGAGATTCTAAATATTTTAAAATCAAAACATGGTTTTTGATAAAATTGGAGATACGTGTTGTTTACGTGTACTTAACGAGGTGCTTACAGGATTTATACCTCATGTTGCACTAATCAACATTGAAGACCTCGGATGCCCACGCTTGGACCAAATATGTGATGAATATACTCTACCCTGCTGTATTTTTGATATGGAATTTAATTCAAAGCAATGTACATTCTATAAAGTATTTGCTATTAGGAAATGGTTTATAAATAATTCTTTAAATTATATTTGTATACAATATATTAAATAAACATGATATTATTATATTTTAACATTGTTTAGTTTTGTTTTGTTTTTTTGATTTATATGTTAACATATTATATACATTATGGTTACTTTTACAAAATTTGAAATTAAATCTAAACTAATATTGATTATCTTCCTTATGTAAACATGATATTTACAGAAATTTTTAGATGATTTATACAAGATATTTACAAAGTATTTTCAGATATAAAGTATTTACAGATATAATGTATTTACAAAGTATTTTAAGGCTATTTACAGGTTATTTATGTATATAATTATAATAATAATTTAATCAACATGCAGTAAAAATAATCAACAAAAATATAAACACAATCTTTTGCAACACATTTGTTTATATTTAAATTATTTTCTGAGATTATATTAATTATTTGATTAAATAAGCTTTCAGAAGCAGATTTAACCATGTGGTAACAGCCAATAGATTTTTCATGTATATTAAAATTATCATCCAGAAACCTTATAACAAACATTTGTAGTAGTTCAATAAAATTACCTTTATTTGTTGATGAAACGTTTCATTGTGACCTCTAAAAGGTAATCCTTGTTTTGCCAAAAATAGGGTAGCCTTAAGTAAAAAATGTAAATGTGAACGGTTTTCATTTATTTCATGTTGTCTTGAAGAATTTAATTGGTTGGTTATAGATAAATTATTTTTTGCCTGGACTGATCTATAATCTCTCCAACGCTGCATAGAAATAACATGTCTGTTTATTCTTTGATGGCGATCCAATGGTGATTTTATTTCCTTCCATTTTTTACAGTTATTTTCATTGTTTATAAAACTATAATTACCATACATCTCGCCTCGTGATGGAATATTAGCCCCAAAATGCCGACATACAAAACAAAACAGTGAATCTTTTGATACTGAATATTCTAACCATTCATAATCTTTATAGTATTTTTTATTGAATCGGCGACCGTTAGTAACAGGAAACTTTACCAATTCAGGTTGAATAGGACTATCATTTTTTGAAATAGAAATTTCATTAAAAATATTTCCATGTCCAGGAACAATTGTATGGTTCTAAAATGTGATTTAAAAATTTAAAAAAAAATGAATCAGATAAATTAATTGTTAATCATTTCACCTACTAAAGTTATACATTCTGATTCTGAATTCTTAACCAATACACTTTCTTTTTCTATTTCTACATGCAATACAGTTTTTTCTATGTCTTTAACCAACGAACATTCTTTTTCGATAGGCAACGGCAACAATGACACTTTAAAATTGTCTTCAATCAACATTACATCATCCTTTTGTTTTTGTAAATCAAACAATGAAATTAATAGTTGATATTGTATTTATTGCAATTTTTACAACTTACGTTTGATAAAGCTGAAGCATTTGGTCTAACAGAAAAATTAAGTTTTCTCTGTTTTGAATCGTTTTCTATTACTTTGAGCTGGGCTTTTCTTTTGTCATGCATTTTTTCTGCTCCGCCTTTTTTTTATTGTTTCAACTATTAGACGTTGAAGTGGACATTTCGTATTTTCAAACTTAAGTACCAAGTAGGTAGTCAAAATAGTCAAATCACTCAATTGTCCCAAATCTGTTATATTAAATGATGACATTTTGATAAATGATAATAGTCTGTTACGATAACCATTGATAATAAACATCTATTATCAACCGATAACAGACTATTCACAAATCACAATATTATGATAACAGAGTGTTATCAAAACTAAATACACATAAATCATAATCACGGTTTTTGGTATTTAGTATCTACTCCGTAATCTTAACACAGATTTTTAAACTAACGTTAGGTTAAGTTACTGATCTTCACTAACGTTTACAATTTCATAACTTAATAACTTAAATATGTTTCTAAATTGCTTAAAAATGTAGCGTTCTACGATTATGAGTTTAGGGCGAGTGGTCCATTATGAGTAAGGCTCTATAAATATTTTTATATAGTTCTACTATGAGCGAAGCCACCATTCCAGTGCCCATGTGCCCCTATCGTACCAAAAATTTGACTGGCTCACAAGAAATCAAGGGTGGGGCAATTGCCCCCCCCCCCCAAAAAAAAAATGACGCCACTGTGGCACCTAAGATTCAAAAGCAAAATACCATGATGAGGGAAGCATTACCTTCTAAGTTGAAACTTGAAGTAACCTTAAGATATTTGGCTACTGGTGATTCCTATAAAACATTGCCATACATATATAGGGTCGGAAAATCGTCAATAAG